GATATCCATGAAAATACAGAGGCTCTAGGGTATTGAGTAAGAGTTGAGTCGTGGCACGAGGATGAGGCAGTGTATACCTGGCACCATGAGGTCCACCACGGGAAGCAAAGTACACTACGGAGAGGCACAGAAGACATTTGTCGCACTGAACACAGGGGGCTAGCGAAAGTGTAGGGGTTACAGAAGAGGTAAGTGGAGCGAGATACAAGCGTGGACGTGGTCGCGTTGATCAAAGAGGGGAGAGACTAGGGACCAGGATAGAGAATGAATGGCTAAAAGTTGAGTGAAACATGAAACAAGAAACGGCAAGACACGCGGGAAAATGCAGCACGTCCACGATAGTCTGCAGCGGATACTACCTACAGCCTCTGAGCCTACGTACTACGCAGTAGCCTCTCCATATTCTAGAGCCCCAGGTTAAAGAAACTCCCGCGACTGTTAGTGAACGCGATGTCTATTGGCTGACGGCGCGTGGGATCCTGGCGCGTCGATAACAGCGAATGAGAGACAAGAGCCAGGTCGCGACATTCAAGCTCGACTATCCATGAGAACAAAGTTGAGGCTGTGTAAGTCGAGAATGGGGAAGACAAGAGAAGAGACGAGACGAGACGATAGATGAAGGAAGAAATCTGGTGGACCGAGAGCAAATTTCCGTAGCCGCGGAGAATGGTGCGACGATGGGCTTTTTAATAGGTAAGTAGGTATCAATAAAGTCAGACACTCTCACTCGATTTGGCTGTGGGTGTATTAAGCGCCCGTTAGGTAGAGACAGTTGAAATTGAAATAAATTAAACGCCCGGCGGTTAACGGCAGCGGACAAGGCAAGGGCCAAGGCCACTGAAACCACGACAGAGGATCTGCTTCTATTCTGAGACTTGGGTTGAAAGATTGAGGCTCATGCTCATGCTCATACGTATACGTATACATCATACTCTTGTAAACGCCCTGTATGAGCTGAGCTGGGCTGTTCTTATGGCGCTACTCTACGGGAATGTTTTAGATTTGGACTCCGGGGGCATAGCGATGACCCTGAAAATGGGAGCGAACGGTTGTCCCTCGCAACGAGAAACTGGTGTAAAACGCGGTAGTAAATAGATCTCGGTGTAGAACACGCTCTGGAGAGAAAGATCGCGACTTGTAGAGAGTCGCGTTCTGGTGTTGAACGGAACCACGAGAGAACTAGATATGCCGAGTCAAGGATCTAAAAATGAGTCACAAGCGCTGGGCCATTCAGCGGCCGGGCTCGTGCATTGACAGACCTAAGCCGAGAACCATGATCCTTGGCGATGATCATGACGCCTGGGGCAGTGTTGCACAGTGTCTGGGGGCATTCGCACTTACATCCTCTGCTCTCCAAGCGAGGCGCTTACAGTGTCAATACGCATCCGCCAATCACGACCTCTACAACTTACACCTCGAAAATCGAAGCGCGTCCGCGATAATTCTCTGCAGAGACGATGGGACGTGTTTCAGATTCTTCTCTTTCTCGTGTTCCCAATGAGAGAAGACGTAAAAATGTTTCTTGTTTCGTGGAGAGAGTCAAGGGGATCGGATGGGTCCTATGCCGGAGCCCACAGCCGTCAGCCGCCCATCGCCAACCATTGTCCTCCTCTGCTTCATCGACAGCATAAGAAGACGGCCTCGCCCTGGGTCTCTGGTTCTCTTTTCTCTATTTCTATCCAGCATCATTCATCGTCGGCCTGTCTTTTACCAATCATCCCTAATCATCCTCTATAGTGATCCGGTATCACTATCACCATCAACATCACCATCAACATCATCATCACCATCATCAGATCAAAAAGCTTCACAGCAAACTTACAAGTCTCGCTGGTTCTGAGACTACACTCTAACCAACTCCCAAAACCTTCCGGTTTCATCTTGACCTTTTTCACGGAGCTGGTCTCCTGATCCTTGTCCGTACACTTATAGACTCTCACTAATACTTTCCACATCATGTCCACGTAAGATATTCTCACCAACCATCAAAATCCATTCACCATACATACATAATGCTAATACACTCTCAAGAAGTCTGGCTGTCGATATGCCCTTCGACTTCAGCTTCCCATCTGCCTCTATTGAGCGCACAAGTCCTCCTCCCATGTCAACTCTGCCCTTTGACCAAGCTTTCCTCGACATGGCCTATGCTTCAGCTTCAGCTACTGCTGCTGGTCATATCTCTGGCCACTCTCGCTCATCATCAAAGGCTTCAGTCTACTCTGCCATCTCAGCCGAGTCAGATCATGAATCTCTCTGCTCCCGTCTCACAACGCCTCCTCGTGCTTCACCAGCTGTTCGTCAGCATGGCCCTCTTCTCCTGCCAAAGATTCGCTCTCAAGACCAGGATATTGATGCCACTCCTTGCCACTATCGCATGACTACTCCTCCTGCTCCCAACCCTTCTCGTCACTCAAGGAGCTACACCAACCCCGAGTCTCTTGCCATCACCTTTGACACTCCTGGCTCAGTCAACACAAGCTTCTCCAGTCAGCCTGACGACACTCTGTCTGCGTCACTCCTGACATCTCCGGCCGACTTTGCCACTCACATCTCTGCCTCTCACTCACGCCGTGCTTCCAGCCTTGATGCTACCACAATCGATCGTTATGGCTATCCTACCTATCGTCAGATGCCCTCGTTCGTTCCCGTCCCCCAACAACAATCTGACTATGGCTTCTACGACTACAGCCCTCGTGCCCAGTCCCCCCTGAGCCTCACTGCCACTCCGGACCCTACTCCCAATACCAACCTTTTGAGCTTCCTCACCTCTTCCAACCCAGCTGCTTCCTTGGTCCGCCATATCTCGTTCCCGGTCCGAGATGCTGCCACTAAGCACTTTTGGTGGGATGTTCGCAACATTCGCTCTTGGTCCTCTTTCAATGCATCTGCCATTCTTTCTCTCCCCGGTGCCTCCCTTCTTCTCACCAACCCTATGCCCGCTCCTCTGCTCCCTCAGCCTACCTTCGCATCTCGTCACCCCGAGACTGAAGGTCAGCTTCACTCCATCTACGCTTCGTACTACCTCCCTAAGCTGAACTCGGCTTTGGCCATGTCGTCAACTCGCCCTCTTCACCTCTCAGTGCCTCCCAAGACTGCTGGCATGAACGATCTCCTCTTCGTCGCCAACGCTGCCGGGGAGTCTGCTACTGCTGCTGCCATGTTTGGTGGCAAGCCCACTGCCCGAGTTGTTGGTATTGTCCGCAGCTTCGACCGCTTCAATACTGGCATGCGAGTTGAGGGCAACATCAAGCGTGTTGAGTATCTCCGTGGCCTCTCAGCTATCCACCACGCCATGCGCGAGCACGGGTGCCGCTATGGTTTCATCCTCACCGAGATTGAGCTTGTGCTTGTCCGCAACGGCACTGCCAACACTCCCTTCTTCGGCGATCTCGAGGTTACATCAGTCCAGCTCGCTGCCTCTGCCCCCGAAGGCGATGCTTCAACCCTTCCCCACGAGACCCCCCTCACTGCATGCCTCGCCCTCTGGGGTCTCTGCCAACTTGCTGCCGACGACACACCCGCCGGCCATGCTCACTGGCGTGCTGAGATCGGTGCGCCCGCCGAGGGAACTCGCCGCAAGGCTCAACCCCGTGACTCCTGGATCCCTCAACCCCAGCTGGCTGAGAAGCGTGAGGCCAAGAGAAGCCGTGGATGGGTGTGGCCTGAAGATGCCATTGGCCGCAAGGAGCTTGGAAAGCGAGGTGTTCGATATGGAGGAGTCTAAGGGCCTGGTGCCTTTAGAGGAGAATGATGATGAGATGATGGACGATGGATGATTGGAAAGAAAAGACATGATAATGAATGAACATGCGAATTTTGTAATCAATTTAGTACTTAATTAAAACACTTCAGAATCACATTGACTGCATCACGGTGAGATCAGCTCCGGAATGAGTACGAGCCAAGCCGTATAGTTTCTTTACGAGAACTACCCAGTAAGCAACTTTGACAAGTGCTTGACGAGAGGCCTTATTCCATTCACTTACACGCCTGTCTATAGTAGTTAGGCGTGTTTGTGCTACAGCCATATTACCACTATTTTACCACCTCGACATTCCACGATGCCCAGCAACAAACCTCAAATTACACACCATATTGTAACTACTATGCAATTAAATTGAAAATGACACGTCTTGCATTAGTCACAGTTGACATTCGGGGACATGGTTGCCCAAAAGATGGCGTTATACTTTTTTCTCTATGCCTGATCCATGTACATAAAGTGATCTACACAATTACTTTGCACAACAGAAAAAAGCCGTCATCGTATAGGGGTCAGTACATCAGTTTGTGGCTCATTCGAAGCACTGAAAACGCAAGTTCGAGTCTTGCTGACGGCAAAACAATTATCTTTTGCCTTTTTTTGCAAATCATCCTTGTTTTTGGCTTGGATCTGCTCTGCTTGCTGCCTTGTTATTTTGCGCAAGGTTTTCTGCCCCTCTTGACCCCGCTATCGTGGAAGACGAGAGAATCGATGGATGATAAAGGTGGAGCGGGATCCATGCTGTCGAGAAGAATGAGGCATTCCGTGCTGAAATGAAGAGAAGTTGACAATATAAAATGCAGCTTGCTTACTGTTTTCCATTGCTGATCTTAGGCTCTAGATAGTCTGACTGCTGTACTATCATAGATAGATCATGTCCAATTTGGTAAATTATCTACTGAATGCTTAAGAGTATCTCCGTACAACGTAATTAGCGATGCTGTTTCAAGTTCAACGTAACGAAAGGGCTGACACTGATGTAAATGTCTCCTCAAATCCCGTGCTAACCCCAAGACGTACAGCAATTATGAGAACATGTCACAACAGCACGGCAAGAAGCTGCACATACAAGATCGTACGTGGCATGGGGGACATCAAAATCTGGAAATTATCCTCAGTGTCTAGAAACAGTCATCACAAATATAAAGTCATGGGGACACGAAGTTGAGCTTCATCACATCATTGCATTGAACTTTTTTCTATAGACTTAAATACGCCTGGTGATATCGAGAGCTTAGCTCTTGGCGGCACCAGCCTTGATGTGCAGGATATCACCGTCCTCGACGACGTATTCCTTACCCTTGGTCATGATCTTGCCCTTGGCCTTGACCTCGGACTCGTCACCGAGCTCCTTTAGGGTGTTGTAGTTGAAGACGAGAGCCTGGATGAAGGTCTTCTCGAAATCGGTGTGGATGACACCGGCAGCCTGAGGCGCCTTGGTGCCAGTTCGAATGGTCCACTGCCGAACCTCATCAGGTCCGACGGTGAAGAAGCTGCCAAGCTGAAGGGTCTTGCGCATCTGAAGAATGACCTTGGGCAGAACAGAGTCGGCTCCGACGTTCTTCTGCTCCTCCTTGGCCTCAGCCTCGGTCTCGAACTGAGTAAGACGAGACTCGTAAGAGACGGAGACGGGAATAAGAGGGTCGCCCTTGGCATTCTCGTTGATCCACTCGACAATCTTGGGAAGATGCTTGTTCTTCTTGCGGATGAAGTCCTTCTCGGACAAGTTGACGAGGTAGACAACGGGCTTGGCAGTCAGGAGGAAGAGAGGGTTGATGACCTCAATCTGGATGAGAATGTCAGTTAGGGTTCTCATAATTTCTTCAACATGAACAAGTGTGAAAGATTTGCAATCAGAATAAAGTTTATCTCACAATGCCTCTAGCGTTAATAGGTGAGGCATTCGACGAGCTGGGTTATAGATTCAGGCCTTATGGCCTTTTGTCATCAGGAAAGCAGGGTGTGTAGAGCAGAAGAAATAGAGAGGCAAAATGTCTTACCTCCTTGGGGCCCCAGGTACCCTTGCGGACATCCTTGCCCTGGTTGAGCCAGTCCAGGATCTTCTCAATGGTTTCCTGTTCTTGCTTGGCCTTCTTCTGCTCCAGAGACTGGCCACCCATACGGGTCTTCTTCTTCTGGTTCTCGAGGGCCTTCTCAACGAACTCAATATCCTTGAGTCGCAGCTCCTCGCTGATGATGTCAAGGTCACGGGTGGGGTTCACGTCACCCTCAATGTGGATAATCTCGGCATCATCGAAGCAACGAACAACCTGGAAGATGGCATCGACGGCGCGAATGTGCGACAAGAAAGCGTTTCCAAGACCAGCACCGGTTGATGAGCCGCGGGTCAGACCGGCGATATCGTAAACGGTCAAGTTGGCGGGAACAACGGACTTGGGCTTGTACTTCTCGACGAGCCAGTCGAACCGGTCATCGGGAACGACGACGCGGGCTTCCTCAGGGTCGATGGTGGCATAGGGGAAGTTCTTGATGCTGTCAGCACCCCGATACTAAAGACGGCGGATGGCGAGGGGGCTTCATACAGCTGGGTTACCGAGGTTAGACTTGGTAATGGCCTGGAAGAGAGTAGATTTGCCGACGTTGGCCAGACCGACCTGGATCATGGTTAGCACGTGGCATACATCATCGATGGAATATTGTCACGCACAATACCACTCTTCAAGTTGTTTCCAGGCCTGCCCAGAGGGATCTTCTCCTCGACGACTTGCTTCTTAGGAGCCATCTTACGTGACTTGGCGTAGCTGCGACGTTGAACGAAGAAAGCTAGGCCCAAGTGTTTGGATGGAACGTGTCCAAGAGCTGCAGAGCTTGCTGCGCGGGGTGCAAGAGGAGGAAAAGAAGCGAAGAAGATGGAAGATTTAATGGACTTCGTGGTGAAGTATTCAGGTTGGCTAGTGCCAACCTCGGACGGCTTCGAGAGCGATAGCGACGACGAAGAAGAAAGGAAGAAAAGGGAAGTTGAAGAGAGAGAAAAAAGATTTCTCTTTTTATTTTCCGCGAGCCGAGCTTGGGGGAGATGAGATGAGAATTTGTTCGTGACCCCACCTTGCTGGGGTTTAGAGAGGTTGGGCTGTGCCAAGATCTCTCGGATAGTGGGAAAAGGTAGTTCCGGCTGGAATTTGAAGACGACGTCATTGGCTGACGAAAGCAGCTGGGCATACCGTAAAGGTACACCAAACCGTGCGCAGAAGGACCCTGGATCCAGGATCCAGTGGACAGGCACAGTTTGTCACAGAGCTCAGGCCCTGTGGTTTTAGGTGTCTGTCTTTGGAAACTGCCTGACCTGAGTTACCTGAGGTTACCTAAAGCTAGTAGAGAGTAGGACAGAGGCAGAGCAACCTACGCCGTACCTAGGTTTTGGATTTCGCCGGGCTTGATCTGACAGGAACGACGGGAGCTCAGCCGGGCCGGCCAGTCCGATTCCTTCAGTTGTTTCCTCTTCTTCACTTCTATTCATCAACCTTTCAAGTTAGAATATTCATCTTCTCTTTATGCCCCATGATTCTTTGTCTTGCCAAACTGACGCCTACGGACACCATCCTACAGCACTATATAAGCCTTATTAGCCTACCATTTCCCCAGCTCAGCCCCGCTCACCCGTCAGCTGCAAACCCCAAAGCTTCGAGCCACTTGACGTCGCAATAGTTGCAGTGTCTGTATCAGCTTTTGCATGATGCCGCGTCACAAGAAGAGCTCTTCGGTGAGCAGATCTCACCGCTCAACATTATCTTTATCCAAAACTGAGATCACCATACATGTCTATGATCTACTGCCGGTAAGTGAAGTTGCTCATACTCATCTCACTAGCTTTCATGAGCATGACGCTGATACGCGCGGCATGATAGCCCGGCCGATTATCGTCGGTATTATGGACAGTGGGCGCCTCACTACTTCATTCGGGTGTCGTGATCAACGGGAGGGAATACGCCTATGGTGGACATGATAAAAGAGGCCTCACAGGTGTATACTGGACAAAGCCCCGGACCGAACCGCCCGGAGGCACATTTCGATGCGAGATCCTGCACGGATTCACTCTTGCGACAGAAGACGAGATTAATGCGACTCTACAATCTGCATCTGAGGAGTTTCTGGGCACTTCATACAATCTTCTGACTAAGAATTGCAATCACTTCACCTCTTATCTTTGCAAGAGACTTACAGGACAGTCAGGGCCAGCATGGTTAAACCGTGCGGCCAGTATTGGGGTTGCGCTCCCTTGTGTCGTCCCTCGAGATTGGATTGAACCACCCGAATACGACACCAGCGAAGGTGCGCTGCTGGATGATTACGACAATTCGAACGACGACAACTCTCATACGTTGAAGAAATCGACGGACCCCCATCTGCTGATGGAAGACAACGATAGCAACGAAGATGATGAGTGGGACAGCGCAGAAGAAAGACGACGAGGCGGCAGCGGGAAGGGTAAGCAAGCCCTCCGCGATTCCGCCGGGCGTCGCTTACCACCAGCTGAGAGGGCCATCCGATAATAGAGTATAGATGAGGCTGCGGTGTTAAGTGGAGTTTGGCGTTTCAAGGTACCGTTTCAATGGATTAGCACGATACCAGAGACTTTACGGTTCGGGAGCAGATCATTCGTTTGGGAACTTGCAAGCAAAGCAAGCTGTGTCTTGTTCATTTGTATAGTACAGGTCGTACAGAGTATAGTACATTCACTTTCTCAACCTCCGCGGCGAAGTGATATTCTCGTGTGAACATATTCCTTCCCAAAAATGTGCCCAAATTCCAATTCCAATCCCAATCTAAAAATCCAGGCTTTTATAGACGTCTAGGCTTCTCACTCCTGGTACCACCAAACTTGATTCTAGTCGAGTCGGCTACACGGACAATCTTGTCTCGTAAGACCTTGCCCTCGGGGCTCATCAGAACCTTCAGAGCAGCCTCTCGTCCCTGACCAAAACCTCGTAGCACAATCTCTAGTCGGTTCATCTTCATGGGCCAGCCGTTGTGGATCAATCGCTCCAGGACATACTTGGTGAGGGAGTAGGCGGAATCGAATAGACCACGGCGAGATTTGCGGAAACCAATGTTGCCGGCCGACAGAGAGATAATTGGTTCTCGATTGGGCTTGGTGCAGGTGATATGGGTGTTGTGCTTGTGAGAGTAGATGTGGAAGTGGTATGGCTCGAGATCGTCCTCCTTGGCCTCGGCCTGTCGACGGGTATCTCTGGATAGTGTGCTCGTATCGATGCTGGAAGACTTGTCAAGTGTCTGGAAGACAAGGCTTTGGGAGAGGTTGGCCATGGCATTGTTGGGGGAGGGTCTTGTCTTGGACGTCTCTGAGGGGCCGTAGATGTTCTCTAACAGCGAGGCCGTACTGGGTCGGCTGGGTGCCCTTCTGGGTTTATCATCGCGGTTGGACTTTGTCTGGGAGATGGAGCGAGCGATTTGAAACGTCGACTTTGGGACGGTGGCTCGGGAGGATTGAAGGAGCGATTGCGCCGCGAGGCGACTTGTCAATGAGCGACTCATCTTGTTCGCAATAGCCTGGGCCTGTCGTCCGTCAATTGATGATCTGCCTCTGGCAATTTTTACTCGCGGCTCTAAACTAAACTTCAAGTCCCCCCACGGGCCGGGGCTGGACGGGGAGTGGTTCTATTCTACCGAGGCTTTGCCGTCTCGGTGTTTGTCTTCCTTGACTTTCCGCCCCCGGACCGAGATCGCAAACCAAAATTTCGTTTTGGGAATTCCACCACCTTCCACCGTCCATCTCGGCATCTCTCCAAATCCACGCCCTGCCTTTTTTTCTGGAGGGATTTGTCTCGTTGTGTTGTCGTAATAATGAACTCCCTCGCAAGAAAGACGGCCTCCTCGGAGCTCGCCTTTACACGGCCTTCTGCTCATGTCTCATCCGCTGGCAGATCTCCCGCCTACCGAAGATTAGCATCCCAGCTCTCTTCTCAGAATGCCTCCAACAACGGTGCGAGACAACAAAGCTCAATGCTTTCCGGTTCAGTTCGATCGCCATTGAGGTCTTCCTTTGTCCCCGCCGAGCTTCGTTTCTCCCCCACTTATACCGCTCAATCTCGTCTCTTCCACCTTTCCAGCCGCTTACACCAAGAGAAGCCTCAAACTGATCAAAAACCCTCAACTGCTGCACCCAACGACGCAAAAGAGAAGAAGCCTACTGAAACTGAAACCGAGTCTGAGGTCAAGCCCGAGGAGGAGCAATCCAAGAAGACCGAGGATGGTGAGAAGGCCGGGAAGGATGGAAAAGAAGAGGCCGAGGGTGAGGGTGAGGGCAAGGATAACGAGAAGAAGAAGGAGGATGCCCCTCCCCCTCCTCCTCATGGTGACAAGACCCCCTGGCAGGTTTTCATGGAGACCATGAACACTGAGTTCCAGAAGTCGCAAGAATGGAACGAATCGACTAAGCAGATCGCTGCGTCTGCTAACCAATTCGCTGAGAGTGAGGGTGTGCGACGTGCTCGCGAGGCTTATGAGAAGTCCACTGGTGCTGTGTCCTCGACTCTTGGAAAGGGTGCCAAGGTCACTGCTGGTGCCATTGGCAAGGGTGCTTCTTGGACCTGGGATACTTCAGTCGTCAAGGGTGTTCGCAAGGCCGCCAATGTCACGGGAGATGCCGTGGACAAGGCTACCCAGCCCATCCGAAATACAGAGGCTTACAAGAACGTCAAGAATGTCATTGACGATGGCAGCTCTTCACGATACGGTGGCTGGGTCGAGAAGGAGGAGCGCAGGAAACGCCGAGAGGCACTCGATAAGCAACGGGGTTACAAGGCGGCTGCACCTATGGAAGAGGACATTAAGTGAGTATCCTTATAATCGTTCTCATTCGAATCTGGTCTAACCCGAGATAGCGCTGGTACCAGTGTTACCGTTCACAAGGACGCTGCTTGGAAGGAGGCTTGGAGAGATTTCCGCGACCAGAACAAGTATGTGCAAGGACTCTTCAGCTTGAGGGGCAAGTATGAGGAGTCTGAGAACCCCCTTGTATCGACCGCTCGAAGTATTACCGACCGCATCGGAGGCTTCTTCGCCGAGAACGAGACTGCCATGGTCATCAAGAAGTTCAGATCCATGGACCCCAACTTCCAGACAGAGCCTTTCCTCCAGGAGCTCCGAGAGTACATTCTTCCCGAGGTGTTGGACGCTTACGTCAAGGGCGATGCCGAGACACTGAAACTGTGGCTTTCTGCTGCTCAGTACTCTGTGTACGAGGCCCTTACTAAGCAATACCTACAGGCTGGCATGAAGTCGGACGGAAAGATCCTGGATATTCGAAATGTCGACATTCTACGAGCCCGCATGCTTGATCCTGGTGAGGTTCCTGTCTTCATCATCACCTGCCGCACACAAGAGGTTCACGTCTACCGCAATGCCAAGACGAACGAGCTCGCTGCCGGTATGGAGGACAAAGTCCAGCTGGTCACATACGCCATTGGTATCACACGAGTACCAGAAGATGTCAACAACCCCGAGACAAGGGGCTGGCGTCTGATTGAGATGCAGAAGAGTGGACGAGACTGGTACTAAAGGAAACAGTCATTTTAACGCGGCGTCAAGGGGTTGGGGATCTGCCTTTGTTGGATACCTACGAGATGAGAAGGAATCGAAGGCGAACACGGGAGCATCGCCTAATGTGTGTTAATTACTGTAAAATATGTTCTATCATGTGAAAATATCAGGGCGGGCTCTCGACACGAAAAAACAACAACACCAATACTACCACCACCACGACACAACACAACACAACGTACAATTACCAAACAAAGCAAAACAAGCATTTTCTGGAGAATCGGTTTGGGGCTGTTAAACAGCAAAAAATGACTACTACCACGCCGCTCTGCTAGCCTCGGGACGAGGCTCTTTTTATGTATGATTATGGAGGGAAATAGGGGCATTGGGCCGGGCATCATTGGTGGGAGGAAGATGGACTTATAGACATGTTCAAAAGTTGCCTTGGTTTTCAAGGTCGGTGCAATATATCTAGGCGTATAGCCGAAACAGCTCAAACAACCATTGTTCCGTTCCTGACAAAGTGACGCCCGTTTGCAGGATTCAATATTGTATAACAGTCCAGTCGTATGGCCACTCAGGCTCTTTGGCTGTCTCGTCTCTCCTTCAAGATCCTTCTAACTTCCATCAACTCCTTACCAAGCAAATTCTCGCCCCACGAGTCTCTCGCAGCATCTGCATCTGCAGCTTTGAACCCAATGCCCCAGACCGGATCAAATGGACTGGCCTCGACAAGTTCTCTGTTGCCCGTGTCGATCAACATATCTGCTAGAGAACCATCGATGGGCCAGTGCAATGAACTTGGTTGATTTGCCCCCGGCGTGCCTCTCTTGAAACCCTCCTCTGTGATAGCCCGTGTGAACTTGAGGATGTTCCCCTTTCGGACTATGTCACGTCGATGCTTCAGCCATACTGCCTCGTCAAAGTTCTTTACCTGGCGGCCGAGAGACTTGGCTTTTCGTGGATTGCCTGTCTTGAGGACCTCAAGAGCGGTGGCTTCGTCGTTGAACAGGATGGCTTTGTGATGCATCATATAACTAGGAAGATGTCAAAATCGACCTTGAACAGTGTATCTGTAGAAGTGACGGGACCTACTGCTCTGCTGTTTTGTATGTCTTTTTCTCATCCTGATCATCCTTGAAAGGACAATAATACCATTGTGATAAGTAACCTGTTGCTGGATCTGTTTCACGCCAGAAATATACAGGACCGGGATTTGATGTTGTAGCCATTTTTACTGAGTAGTGATGTATAAAGGACCGAGAATGGAGATCAAGACTTGACGAGAATTTGTACATTTGTATTTTCCGTTTGGGTTGAAACTGCACGCTGTGACCGTGAATGAGGCTGTGGCTGAGTATTCGCAGTTGAGTCAGACGGGGAAGCCAAGGTTGACGTTGTTGCTGTGCCTTTTTCCAAGGTCGACTCATACAAAAGCCATACAACAGCTGTAGGTAGAGAGTCGAGAAACCTAAGCTGTTGTTCTCTTTGAGGCAGAAGTGCCACGGTAGTAACAGGTACACAATGTAAGCTGTATGTATTAGAGATGTTCACCACTCTCGTGTCCTCCGTATTATATCGGCAACAATAGAGTAGAGCCAGTTTAAGCAAGATGAGAGCAACTGCTTGATAGGCCACTTGCTTTAAAGGCGTATTGCTATGTGATTCGATTTGGCTTTCGGTGTGAGTCATGCTACTGGATGTTGATGGAGTTTAATACTCATACTCATGGTAGAGAATGGCCAAGAGGGTGAATGGTTAATTATCAAGCCTACAACGTGCTAGAGAGTATGAATGCGTATCCATCACGGGATGATGTACCTTAGATATAGACCTATGACCACTGATTGCAATATACTGTATAGCAAGTATATCTCTTGTAGGCTCCACATGAGCAGACCCGGTAATACATGAGCCATTGACATGGCCACTTGAGTTAGTTGGCCCAGAAGCCCATGTTGGCCGTACCATTCAACACAGGCACAAAGACTATTGATATGCAAGAGGCATTTCCCATGATTCGGATAACTCAACGCCAGTCGTGTTTAACGCTGACAGTCTTGGGGTGATACTATAGTGTCAACCAAGACCACTACTAATATCCAACATCGGGGGCTTGGTGTAGGGGGATCACGTTCGCTTTGCATTGTTTCGAATGCCTGCGAAAGGTCGGGGGTTCAAATCCCTCAGCCTCCATTTTTGTCTTTTACATGTTGATAATTCCCCTCCAAGACTTCTTTTTGTTTGATCTCATACTACCAGATAATGGAGACCATAAAGGAAGCCATTATCTACGACTCTGGCTGTTTTCCAAGCTTTAACTTCGTTATACTATAAGTTTTGTTACAGCAGCTAAATCACCTTCTCTAGTATCGATGATGGTTACTAGAAGCTTTGAATCAAGATGAAACAGAGCCTTAAAGTTACAACAAGGCTTCAATACCTAGCTCTGCTATCCCGGGAGCTTCAATTAATGCTATTTGCTTCGGAGCTTCATCCTCGGTATCACGTAATTGCCCCCTCTTGTCAGCATCTCTAGACTGTTTGGAGTTCTGGCCAAGTGTTCTTTAAATCATGGCAAATGCAGTGTCATGAGATAGAGATAAACCTCGGAGTTCAAAGCTCGTGACCAGAATGTTTGAACAACATCAAGGACATAAACCGTTGCCGGAAATATTACCGGAGGCTCCGAAGCCAACTTCGGTCACAAATCGCCGCGCCGGAGCGTAAAGTGGGGGAGAACCCCAAGGAACCACCGGGAGCTACGGGTTAACCACCTTGGCTAAGGTATTGGTTCTCCAACATCGAACAAACACCTTCAATCAATCAACCAACTCGTCACCCCAGACACATCTTCACAACCAGAGACATTGCAAAGATGGATCACGTCGAGCAACACATGGCTCAACAAGCCAGCCAAGAAAAGTATGTCATCCCCGCTCTCTACCTACTCTCTGAGCTCTGTCACTGACTCGTCCCAGCGCTTCCCTCTTCACACCCCTCAACCTCATCCTCCTCAGCGCCGTCCTATACACAACCTACTCCATGCTCCGCTCCTCGCCGCCCCCATCTCTCCCCCGCGACACGCCCTCAACAGTCTTCAAGACATACACCCCTCACACTCTTCTCCCCTTCAACGGCGAGGAGGATCGACCTGTCTTTCTCGCTGTGCGCGGCCGCGTTTTCGACGTTTCGCCTGGCCGTAACTTCTACGGCCCTGGTGGTCCTTATAGCAACTTTGCCGGTCGGGACGCAAGTCGCGGTCTTGCGTGTGGAAGCTTTGATGAGGACATGTTGACTAAGGACCTGGATGGTCCGCTTGATAAGCTGGAGGGACTCGATGCTGAGCAGATGGACGCGCTCCAGGGCTGGGAGGAGAGGTTCTTGGAGAAGTACAACGTTGTTGGAAAGCTGGTTTCCGTGCAGGACTACGAGTCCCAGAAGGCTTAAGAGGTCAACTACTAGAGATTCTTGAGCGGCACGATCACGAAGCATATCTTGGAGCAAAATCAACATGGTGCAACATATCAGGGTACATGAGCGACTCGCATTCCTTCATTACTATATAACAAAGAAAAAACATCCCATCTACCCAGTCAGGGCGATCAGACACATACCCATCACTCTATCCCGACGAGTTGCCTTAACAAGTCCTGCCCTACCCAAGAAAGTAATAAAAGAAAAAGCGTAGAAAAGCAGGGTTCCACGTAAACCAAACTCCATGCAATGCCTCCTGTAAATTTTTGCGTTAAAGCTACGCAGTGTGTCCTGGATCAGAAACCAAAAACACTATGTATATCCTGTAAAAGAAAAGAGAAGAAAAAAACAATGGCGAGCTTGCCTGGACTGAGATCGATATAGAACGGGAAACAAAGAGAGGGCTTTTCTTTTCGCTGCTCAAATCATAAACGTGCTTTATTGCATCTCTAAGATTGTTGCTGCTTTGCGAAGAAGCGCTGCCGTCTTGGCAACCATCGGTTTGGCGGCTTTCCAGTTTCCCTCCTCGATGTAGTCGCGAATAGCAGGGAAGATGGCTCCGTCGTTGGACCAAGCCTCTGGTCCGAAGACGACGCTCTTGAACTGTGTACGGTTGGGAATCTAGTGATAGGGTTAGCTCAAGTCTCTCAGTCAGTCTCGTAGGGGGACGTACACCACCGCCGATTTCAAGGTCCAGTAACGCTGTCTCAAAGTATGCCATCTTGTTGTTGTATGCAAGTCGAGAGGCACCAATATCGTTGGCCTCCCAGCCTCCGTTGCCCAAGACCTCGCGGTCCCATTCCATTTCCCACTTCTCAAATGTGGCGACGTTGTGCTGAACAAGTGTTGCAGCGTCCTTGAGTTCCTTGAATGCGTCTTTCTCGCCCTTGGGCTGGCCGTCCATTTTCTTGAGTGCCCACTTCTCGAGATCTTTGACCCATTGGCCTAGTCTCTGTGCATACCAGCCCATATCAAACGGCATGATGGGCCGATCGGCCATGTCGAGAATGAGCAGAGCTATCACTTGTCCCATTGCGCCGTGGTACTCGAAGTCGGGATCGATGAAGTTGTCCACCAATCCAATCTTGTCGTAACTTGAGTGGTGAGGGACTTGGGTCCCCCTGAAGGCCAGATCGAGTGCACTTGTTCCTGCGATATCCTGGAATGGAATGTGGTCGCCACGTCCCTCTGGCTGCTTCAGCTCGGCATGGCTCTGTTCCCAAAGGTCCTTCAATGTACTATTAGTAGAGGGGTCGATAACTCGGCCCAGGGCATGAAGGAGAGACTTTCGGAACACCGGCGATCCTGAAGCATGCAGGTCTTTTCCGACGACAGCCGCCCCAAGGTTGAGGTAAGCAAAGGCATTGTCACGCAAAGCCTCTGAGTTGTGCTCGACATATTCAGTCGAGCCAATCAGGTTGTACGCAGAGGCATCCCAAGACATAAATTCGATGGTCCTCAGTGGCCTCCAGCCTCGCTGTACAAGATCTCCAAAGATTCGAGCCATCTCAATCATGACAGCTGTGCCTGAGTGGGGGTCCGTCGCTCCGAAAGCCCAAGAATCTCGCTGGTTGCCGATGATGATAGACTTGGACGTCTGCTCCATACCATTGATTCGACCATAAACATTCCAGATAGTGTGTAATGAATCCTCATCTTGCTCGTTCTTCAAGCGCACAATTGGGGATTTCTCACTGCCGGTCCACCACTCGACGTCTGGGACGCCGCCCTCCCACTTGTTAGGCACCTTTTCGCCATAACCCTTGAGATGCTGTAGCAGAACCTTGGCATCTCTCCAAGCAAGAGGGAGACTGGGGATACCGACAAGTCCATTGGCCTTGTCGAGTGTGATTCGCTGATCACCCTTGCTACCATAACCAGGCGACAAGGGGTCACCAATTCCCCAGTTAGTGAGACCTACGGAGCCTCTTTGAACACCGTCTGAGGGCATATACAGTCCTTCAGGAGCTACAACACCCTTCTTGAAACCGTCGTCCGCAGGGTCGGAGTAGATGAGACAGCCAGCAAAGCCTGCCAGCTCGGCTGCCTTGACCTTGAGAGCCTGATTCTCCAGAGGACCACCGTTTTTCACCAACGCAATAGCTCCCGTGGCATTGAAACCTTTGCTTGCAAGATGCTTGAAATCGTCTCTTGTACCATAATTGGCGTAAATTAGGGGTCCCTTGACGTCACCCGACTTTGAGTACCCGTGGAAGGCGTAAGTTTGTCGACCTGCAGTTTCGCCTCCGACCTCCTCTTCTTCTAGCTTAGCCGTCCATTTGGCCTTGTTGAGATCCTTCTCGTCCATGATCTGCACCGCACGACCATCCTTGCGGGGGTAGTTGAGATAAACCTGATACTCATCCATCATAACCTCATCCAGCAGTGCCCTGCTGAACATGGCCTGAACATCCAACGCGGTCGCATAATCACCCTCGGTACCAGCAATATGGGCGTAATTCGAAAAGTGCTGTACTGATGCGCGCATTCTCATGGGATCAACGGTGCGCAGCAGATGGGCTCTAAGGTCCTCAGGGTTGAAACGGAAACCACCCCCTAATCTATCTGACAGACCACCAAACATATCGCTGGCGAAGAGCAGATAGAAAAATCCCAGGATGATTGTGAGGGCCAAAATGCGTACACAAAATAAGATGACGGTTGTTTTGTCCACCTTCGGTATGTTCCACCTCCTCGTTGTCTGGCTTGGCGTCTCCTCATTCTCACCCGTGGCATTCTCGGCGTCGTCGGCAGCTGGCGCATCAGCTCGTTGAGGTAATTGTATGCGTAATCGTGGTAATCTCGGCCTCCAGGACCATTTCCACCGCGGTAGAGTTAGATATGACCCTATTCGCTTCCCCCACTGAGAGCCTCGGGATCGGTCGGGTTCCTCGATCTCCATCTCCTGCATCTCACGTCGAACCTGCGCGGCTTCATCGTCACTCTCGCTATCGCTGGCCCATAAACTGTCCTCATCGTCCGTCTCTACTGTTGGTGGTCGATAACCGTCGGGCCTGCGGGAGGAACTGGCGCCACTCGAATGTTGTAGGAGACCCTGTGATTCCGCCTCTGTTGCATTACGTTCATTTGTTGGAGACCTCGGAGCAGGAGCCCAGTCATCTGGATCGTAATGACTACCGCTAGCCACGGCCTGATCGTAGGTGGGCGGTATAGGATCATAGAAAGGAGTCTTTTCGGAAGGCATCTTGATGGTGATTGAGCGCTAACCGCGCCCTCGGTTGTCGTATATTCAATCCGATAAGAAGCTGGTTCAGGCGTGTCACAAAGCAGTCGAGATAAACAGTGCCATTCGCTGAAGGGGATCGGATAAAAAGGAGCGGGCGAAATCGCGGTTTCGATCGATCGAGACGAAGCAATTAAGTTAAGATGAGCGAGGTGCAAGCACGAAAGGAGCGTTAAGAAAGAGAGACAAGAGACAGACGCCAGAAGCGCATCGCCAAACTAACAAGTCCAGGCCTGCTTTAAGCTCTAACTCGAGATGTTGTTGACTGGGTAAAGAAAGGGAAGGGGAGAAAAAGGGCTGAGATGATTAAAGTCAAAGTAATGTACCGATTTACGCTGTTTGGCTGCAGGTGTAGTACAAGACGGACGGGGGGGATGATGGCGAACCTAATGGAGTGTCCACGTAAGGTAGGGGATCGGAATCCACTGTAACCATAACCCGCCGGTTAGTACGGAGTAGCAAGACAGACAGCAAAAGACATGGACTGGGACTGGACACCTTGGTCGAGGTCTCGAGTGGCTGAGTTTGACCCGGGAGACTTGGCAAGCCTTGGCCTTTTGAGACTTTGACAAATGCCAGTAAAAACACTAATACAAGTGCTATAACTATGCTATAGCTCACTGCTTTTCTTTTTGTCTGAGTACACGTGAAATGACATGCATACTAACACTATCCATATCTACCTATCTCAGAGGCATCCAAGGAGCTTACCAGGCCAGGCCTTGTCTTGTCTCGGCTCTCACAATCACTCTCACTCTCCTGAATCCGCCCATGCACGCCACCAGGATTACCCCACAAAAGCTTGGATAAGGAGACAGCCTAACTCGGACAGGGAGGTGATGTGCGTATCATCGCTTTGCTTCTGGGCTCGAGGTAAAGTTATGGGACGTGTCAGCTAATTTGTTCAGCCGTAATCCGAGATAAAGAATGCACAACTTGTATAGTAAGCCCAAAAATAGCCAAAGCCTCATGCTGTCTAAAGGTTACGTAGCCGCTTACGGATAGGTAGTTACTCTGTATGTATATCTCTCAATCAGGGGTTGGTTGGTGACAGTGACTCTCCAAAACTCTCACTGTCGCAGGAGACTCAGCTTGGCTTCACCGCGCATACCATCAATTTTTGGGCAAAGTTTACATATATACAACTAGTGGACCTGCGACCTCCTCGATTCATGCCTGCAGGCTAAACATTATCTATCGCTATGCCGCTCAATCACCTTCTCTTTCCTTCAGTCACCAATGAATTACACCTCAGTTCGGTGTCAGAACGACTCCCTCATATTGTCGACTTCGGATGTTCTCCAATGTCTGATGGAAGTGCCGGCGGCTGTTCTCAACTGAAGCAGAATCTTGTTGGTTGCCGGCCAGATTAGAGTGGATGAGTTCAATGAGACCATTGAGGTACTTGGTTGTGACCTGCTCGAGTTAGCAATTGCTTCAACAGTTCCAGGACCGAGACTTACTGATTCGTTTTGTTGGTCAAAGTAATACACATAGCGGTCCAGAATCTCAACAAAGAGTTCAATCGATGTGGCCGTCTCCATGCAGGAATCGGCAACACGAAGGGCACGCTGAAGACATTCGAGTACTCGCTTACCATCACGGTAAAGCTATCCAAGTCAGCTAGGGTCCTTCGTATATGGGTCGATACATACCTCTGTCTCTTCCGACTCGCCATTCGACACCATCGGAGTCGCCCACCACAAGTGACTCGCCAGATACACAGCGCGGCATTGATCAGGCTTGCGCAGCAGCTTGCTGCCGTGCTGTGCGCACTTGGTGATGAGAGTGTCGTAATTCTCCTTCCCAAAGTTGCGTGTCTGGTGAAGAGCAGTAGCAATCACACAGACAGCCTGGAACTGAGCCTTCGAATCCGAAACAGCCTCCTCATACACTGTGAAGGCTTGCGCAAAGAATTCATATGCAACCTCTTCAAACCCGGTCAGATCGGCTGTTTGACCAGCAGAGGCAAAGAGACGCAGTGCCATCTCTGCAGCCCCAGAGCCGTTTACACGGGTATACAATGTGCTGAGCGCTGAGTGCATAAACTTGAACAGAGCATTACTCTGTGTCTCCCAGTTGTCGTCAAAGTGCTCACGCTGCTTGAACTTTCGCGCCAACTTCATGCATGCTGTGATGAGAGGTGGCGTCGTCGTGCGGATACGCTCGTTTCCTTCCGAGTACGCCTTTCTTGTCATTTGGAGCAGCTTGAACTGAGTATCGTTGTTCTCGGCCTGCAGCAAGTGCACGATCCTCGCGAGCCATCCCTGCTCCTCCATCGTCTCGTCTGTCTCAACGGGACGTCTTTGGGTAACACCTGGGTATCCCTGAGGCGCCTGGGAACCTTCCTTGATGAGAACCTTGAGTACCTCCAACACGTTCTCGAGCTGTTCTGTAGTCGAGATCTTGGTCTGGTTTTTGAGCAAAGTGCGAGCGACGCCACCAGCAACGGCTCGGCGGGTAGGGTATGATTGCGACTGGAAGAGAGGAACGTAGGTAGGAAGAGACAAAGCAGTGAAAGTGGAAACATATCGATTAAGGGGCGCCTGAAGAAGAGCAAGCAGGCTCTGCTGAGCAGGAGGCGAGTGAAGGTCGGCATTGTTGATATTCTCTCGAACCTTGGTAGTTGCGTAAGCCAGGATCTGGTCAACGTAGTCCAGTCTGTCGGGATAAATGTTAAGCGCAAGGTTGCAAAGTGACACCAGGAGTGCAATAATGTCTTGCACAGGGAGATGCTGGGCCTCCACCAGGTTCTTGACCTGGGCGAAGAAAACCTCGTAAAGCTGCACGGTGTCTGTGATTGACCCTTGACCGTTCACAGCGGTGGTTTCCGTATCCGCAACTGAAGGTGTAGACTCGGCGAGTGTGCTAGAGTCGTCGTTGCTGCTCTCACCAGCAGTTTCCTCTGGAGTCTCATCGGTGGCCTTGGCTGTAGACTCCTCGCCCTCGGCGGATTCGGCATCTTCAGTAGACTCACCCGCTTTACCATCAGTTTCAGATTGCTTAGACTCTGAAGATGTGGCTGGCGATGCTTCTTTTTGAAGGTTTACCTTCTCCAACAGTTTTGCCAGTGCATCCGCCTCAATTTGAGCTCTGTCGTCCGACTTGTCCTCCGGCCCATCGCGTTCAGCATATTCAGACAACCGATCCATCAGACCAATCACAATGGCCTTGACGTTGACATGGGGGTTGAGGCGTGAAACGGCACCAAGGAATTGGTCCAAGGTGTGCAGGTGAAATTCGTCCGGGAAAACCTGCGTAATCACCTCAAGGAGATACTCTTGGGCGAGAACGTCCCGGCATTGGACCACCTGCTCTAGCAGCGGTGCTAGAATACTAGACTTGTACGTTTCAAGATCAACAAGCTGGCTCAGGCGCACGATATTGCTGCCGACCAGTAACTGCAGTTCCTTTCGCTCCCGAATTCGCTGCTCGCGCTCTCTCGAGTGGCCTTGGTGTTGTAGACGAACCCATAGCTTATTCATCTCGACGAAATTTGTAAGCACGAAGTTGATGGAATCGCTAATGTTGCCTTCAGGACCGTCACTCTCAGTAGTTGGCAGGTAGTCCCTCGCTTGGCCAGACAGGTAATATCGGAGGAAGAGACCACGGATAGGATGCTGAACGCCTCTGCTCATGTCCATCATGTCCTTCATGAGCTCCTTGACAGGCGCATCTTCGATGGCCATGTAGGCGGTTCCCACAGTAATCATAAGATACAATCGTGGAACGATGTTGCCTGCATACTGGACGAGCTCGTATAGGTCGGCCAGGTGGTTGACAGGGTGGTTTTCGCGAAGATGGACAGACAAGTATCGCAGGGCATCGAACACTGACATGTACAGCTCGTAGTATTGCTTGGGTCCAAGACTGCTCGTGCGAAGCTCAGAAACCAGAGTCGAGCTGCCAGAGTCAGCGGTTTGCCATTCAGGGGACCGAGCTATCTATCGCGGCAATTATATACATACCAGCACTTGAGCGCATCCATTAGCTTTCCAGGAGTATCGAGACATTTGCGCATAAGGGACGTCTGCTGTCGCACGGCAACGAGAGCATCTTCAAGCAGACGAGCCTGGTCCTCGGGGGGAGCTGGCGTGGCCATCTTGTCGGGTTATGACGGCGGGGTAGCTCGGAGTAGGTCAAGACAAGCCAAACCCCTAGCAATTCACTAGAATGCGACTGTGATAGACGCAATGGTGAAGGAGATGGCAGCGGGAGACGGAGGATGCGCGGAGCTGTCGGGTTGTCGTCGATAGGTTGCGCCGCATACAAGGCGCAGAACGAACGGGAGCGATGACGATACGGGGGGAGGCTGAGATAATGGATTGGATGGGTTGAGGTGGGCCTAAGCTCCGCTGGAAGACAGCGGATAATGGCGCTGTACCAGTTCGTCTTTAGGCGGCAGGGGCTCTAGGTCCGTCCCAGCCACCGGAACGGACTCAGTTCTGGAAAAGGAAGATACCTTACCTGACACGGCGCAGGGACTCATCACGTGGTGTCAGGGAGCAAGTCCTTCCTGCGTCTGAGATTGTGGATGAGATATTTCTAATTATAACTGAAGACGTTCAACGTTCAACTCTATCAATTCACGTATCATGACCCAATTGCTTCATTCTATCGTCGGACGTTCTATCTTTTTCATATTCAATTATGTTTCATCAACGAAATGTCCAAACTAACCAATGCCAATCATACTTAGTTATGGTTAAATAAACTTCAATAACTCCTTGCACTGCAACATGATTCTCAACTGCGCCAGCTCCTCAACGTCTTACTTGATATCATCAATGCATCTTTCAATTTTCCAAACTCGTCAGGCATCCGTTCCTCTCACATTTTCTGGACCGGCCGAACACTCCAACACCACAATACTGTGGTTGTCCAACTCGCGCAGGAATCCCCAGATCATCGCGAAGAAAGTCCACCAACGACGTATCAATCGAAGATGAAAATGCGGCAAGGACCAGCATCATGTTCGACTTGGGATGAGGCAAGTTGTGAATATCGGCAATAATGACGACATCCTTGATCGTTTTTATCGTCGCCAGTTCCCGCGCCCATTCCAGGCTTTCATGACGAGTTGTATATAACAGCCGAAAGTCAGATACCGTCAAGCTCTGCGGGCCGTCCCATGGCCCTCGTGGCCGAGCGCCCTCAATGACAAGTGTCAACTTATCCAAGCTTTGCAAACTTCGCAGCGAACGGCACACAGAAGACCAGTCATATGAATCTGGCTCCATCACATTTGTTGGACTGCGCTTGTAGAGGCTGATCTCCCGGACTAAGTCTCTAGTGCGTGGCGTCTTATCAGTGAGGAAAGGCACCAAGGCCTCAAGGTCTTCTCCAAAGTGGAAAGCATGCTTTGTGTACAGGTAATGAGAGGCTTCCTCTCGGATTTTCCTGTTGATCTGCATAACTGCAGTGTGCATCGATCGGCGGGGATGAGGGTCGGCGCAATATGTCGTTTTGTATGACTTCTTTGCGATAGTCCGCTCCATTATATGATATGCTGAACGTTGGGTCTTCGAACGGCGCGCCTCGTATTCACGTTTCGACTGATTTCGAATTGAAATATCTTTGGTCCCGCCGTTATCGAGAAGATAGTCGTATATCAGCATGCGAATCTCGGGCGGGATTCGCAAGAGCATAGGTTCTTCTGCCATGATGGTTGAGTTGCGTAGCAATGTTTGAAAGAAGGTGGGAAGAGTGGAAGTGATTTTGCGATGCCTTTCAACTGAGGAATTCTTTTTGAACAACGCCGATGACTCGGTGATGTCAGTTTTGGTGATTGTGCTTGTCGATGGTGGTGTCGACGAGTCACTAACACGGTGACGGACAATGACGGATAACGCGAGGGGTCTCACGTCAGAAGCCGCTTCTTGCAATGCCGACAGAGATAACAAAGACAAGACGACGCTATCGTACAGCGGCAGCGCGACAACTACCTTATTTATGTCTGCAAACTGATGAGCAAATCGAAGGGGTCCGCCCATCAAGGTGCCCACTCCCCGGACCTTGACGACCCAACCTTGGGGCCAAGGTCGGCTTTGTCAAACCAATAAGTTCGTAGGTGCAAATCCAAGACCATTGAGCCAAATCTCAACGCATATTCGACGGCACTCAAGCCCGGTCATCTTGCCGTCGGTGTGGCAGCCTTCCCCGTCCTTGCTCTACGACCACCTCGTTTTCGTGGGGTAGTTCTTGATAAGGCAATCTGCTGTGTAGGACAAGGTGCCCCCCCAACCATACTCATTGGTTCAACCGCTAGCTGAAGTTCAACTCCTTCAGCTTCTTGTACTAGGTGCTACCAATTTTGAAGCAATTGACGATTCTTGTATAGGATTGCAGAGATTCAGCCATCCACTAACATAGAGAATGGAGTGTAAGACTCTTCAAATAAGAGGACGGTCCGTTGTCTTGCGGACTGTGGCCCAAGAGATCGCACCGACCCCCACCACTAACACGCACGTATCGCGGACCCAGAACTGTGAATGACGAGATCGAACTAAAGAAGCACTTTTCTCAACCTTTTTACAAGCTGAATCGCGTACAAATGCAAGTTCAACAGAGGGACAGGTTCCAAGAAATACCAATAGTTACTTTACCGCCTTGTTGACGCACGCGACCTAACGCTTGTACCTGGGAGACGTTTCTTTGTCATTGAGTTCAGCTAGCCACAAGATTGTCCATAAAGAACGACAATGATCTCATAAGGTAGTCACTAGACTATCAACCTCTTTGTGGTCATGCACTCTCCAATGAGCACGGCGATGCCATATTTCCCGAACATAATTCGCTCGACAATCTCGTCCAGGGAGCCACTTGACTGACACCGAGCTAGACGTGCTTGTATAATCTACAGTTCTTTGGAATACGTCGTGGTTCCAACCATAGAATCATGCACTGGGCTACAAGTCTCTCATGCCGTTCTCTATTCTAGAGGCAGTTCCCCGACCATCTTCCGTAGATGTTGCACCGCGAAACGATAACTTAACTTATCATGGAGCAAATACCGAGTCATGCAAGTTGGGCTAATGATGCCGGCAAATGTGCTTCTTGTTGCGATAATGGGCCATTGACTTGGCGAACCGAAAAAGTCCGTGATAGTCAGGATGGCCACTCTTGTTGGGGTGGGCCATCCCATGCAACTATTATAGCGCCATCTACTCCGTACATTGAAGATAACGATGAGGGTGCACATCCGTCAACACCTTCAGAGACCGTTGGAGGTTGATCCGGCCGACTTATCGTACCTTGGGGCCCCCGGATTATCCCAGGAATTCATTGTCAACTAGAGTCGAAAGTGATACGACGCTTGCGAGTTGCTGGGATGTTCCTTGAGAATCTCATTCGAAATAATGAAGCTGTCAAGGTATAAATCGTCTTTTCTTCTAGAAGCTCACATAGAAGTTTCAGGAATTGCGATCCTTGCTAGCGCTACACATCTTAGGTCTTTGTTATCCGCTGAAACACCACATATGCGCTGACATCTTAATAAGCATACTTTTGGTTTTACACACGACCTTTCTCTTAGAACCATACAGTACCCTTCTCTCAGGACTCATCTGAGCTTTCCGTATTCGAGGGGTCAATCATCTGAAATATGGCGAACCAGTTCTTTTTCCGCAACGCTTCTGCATCATTCAATGATGCTCAGTTCATCGCTGATGCAATGGACTCGACTATCCCTCATCTTGTTGCGGCGGGAAACGCTGGCCAATGGGGAACTGAGCCTCTTTCAAGAAAGGAATCATTCATGCAGAAAATGCATGATGCTGTCTCCAAGTCGGAGCAGTTCTGTAGAGCGGGAACTGGTGATCCAGAGAGAATATTCATCGCCGAGGTTGAAGACAAACAGACAGACTCTGAATCCACTGCAAACGGAAACATTTCCCGTCGTGTGGACGAGAATGGAAAACACTTTGTGTCTGTTGGCTTCGTCAAGATTGTTGAAGAACAGTTCGTGGGCTATCTGAAAGAGTCTGAGACTTTGAAAGCCCAGGTTGAACCTGCATTGAATAAGGGCAAGTTTGTCTTCCTCCAATACCTCGTCACTGATCACCGAGTTGGTGATAGACGTCGCGGAGCTGGGGCTGCTCTCCTTCAGAAAGTCAAGGATTATACTCTTGAGCGTGGTTGGAAGACGATCTGGCTTGATTGTTGGGACGGGGGTAATGGGCAATTGGTGCAGTATGTTCCCAGAACGATGCCCTCGACTCGGGTCATTTCTAATGATTACAGGTACTACGTTGATCAAGGATTCCAAATCATGGGGAGCTTTAGGGATGATGATGACGATGGATCTTCATGGAATGGCAAACTTTTCCGCATGGAAGTGCCCTAGAAACTGCTACCGAAGCAAGCGTCGTGTAACCGATACTGCTATCTCTGCGTACATTCACTTCTCCAGAGGCGCTGTATCGGCGAAGCAGCCAAAGAAGGGGTCCCGCCCTCCAACGACTCCAGCCTCAACAGCCAATTTCCTCAACTCTTGATTCTCCTCCTTACTCAGCGTCACCTTTGCTGCTCCCACGTTCTCTTCGAGATACTTGATGTTCTTCGTGCCAGGGATGACAAACATGTTGGGGCTCTGCTCCAAAATCCAGGCCAGGACGAGCTGTGAGGACGTAAACCCCTTCTTCTTGGCCAACTCATTGAATTGGTCCACAATCTTCAAGTTCTTCTTGAAGTTGTCACCCTGGAACCGCGTCAGGTTTCTTCTGGTATCCGTCTCTTCGAAATCATCGACAGAGCGGAAACGACCAGTCAAGATACCACGACCAAGGGGTGAGTAGGCAAACACCGCCACGTCTAGCTCTTCGCAAGCCTTGAGAAGGTTTGTTCCCGAAGCCCCTTCAATGTCGAGTGTCCAGGGGTTGTACTCGACTTGTACTGCTGAGATGGGATGGATGGCGTGGGCTCGGCGGAGAGTGGTAGACGAGATCTCTGAGAGGCCCAAGTACTTGACCTTTCCCTCACTATGTGTGTGTGAGTCCCGCTTAGCTTATTTCAGGACGAAATGACTTACTCAACCAATTGCTTCATGGCTTCCACAGTCTTCTCAATAGGCACATCCTCTTTTGCACGATGCATGTAGTACAGATCAATGTGCTCAACGCCAAGCCTCTTCAGGCTGCTCTCAATACTCTTCCTCACATGCTCAGGCGACGAATCAGTAACAATCCCTTTCTCACCCCCCTTCAGCCCAAATTTGGTCGCAAGGAAGATATCCTGACGCCGTTCGGGGTGAAGCTTGAACCATTTGCCTATGACATCTTCACTGTCGCCGTAGATGTCAGCTGTGTCCCAATTGGTACAGCCAAGTTCCCATGCACGGTCGAGGAGTTTGAGGCGTTCTTCATCAGATCTGGGGATATTAGTGAGATTCAGCAATTGGAGATGCGATTCATACGTGGCCGCTCCGTATCCGACGCTGATTCCCATAAGACCAAGACCAATAGATGGGATCTTGGGGCCATTCTTGGTGAGCTGTCGAAGAGGGAGTTGGGCTGGAGGAGCCATGATGTAGTCTAGTTCTCAGAAATGGAGTTTGAGCAGTTGGGGGAGAAGTTGGTTGGATGCAAGTCGCCTGGTGTTTAGTCTACCAAAGGGATATGTTCATAAAGACAGAGAAACTCTCTTCCTTTTATACATTTCCAACGCCTCCCCATCATTATATTGACTCGTCCTATCCTAGTCCAGGTTACGACATTATTTCCTGTGTCCTTCTTTCATATTCGTTACATCAGTGTATGGAACGGGGTTAGCTTTGCGCCGACATCTTCTCATCCCCACACTTGCGGCCGAAAGACTGCTTGTCTCCGAAACTTTAAAGCATCTTGCATGAATGACTAAGAACAGCCTCGGTCTCGGGCAATATCTTGTTCACCGCGAGATTCTTATCAGTGTAAGTCGGCCAATCAATAGAAACAAAGTCAAACGGGAACAAAGAATCTTGAATTCAGATCAAGGTATCAAAAACCACAAAAACGCTGTATTACACTAGTCCCTCTATTTTGTCTTGCGCCTCGCCTTGAACGTCTTGAGCGGATCCCTCTTCCTTGAGCCGACCTTAAATCCGCGACCCTTCTTACCCTTATGACCCTTGCGGTCTTTCCTGAGTCCCACAAAGCCAATGTCGTTTGTCAAGGCCTGTTTACCATCTTTGGGTAGGAGATAGTCTGGGATATGCTTCAGGTGAGCTTGTTGTCTAGCAGTTCGAAGTTCACCGTCGTGGCGAAGATGGGCGAGTTCCGTAGGGTTCTCCTCAAAATATCTGGACGATTGTTAGTATAGTTTGAATACGGTGAGTTATTACATATATGCTTACCGCTTCAGCTTCTCACTCTTCAATAGCTCCTGTCGCAACTCTCTTGTTCGGGCCTCTCGGATAGCAACCTTGGTGACCGCACGTAGAGCATCGTTCATTCGGTACCGGAAAGGGTCCACTTGCTTCATGTTGAAGTTGTAAGGCTTCACCTCTTTTCCTCGTTTGGCCTGCTGCCTGATGATCTTGGCCATCACCTTTTCGTCATTCTCTGAAGTTGGTGTGGACGTAGGCATGTGCTTTCGGTATAGGTTCTTGGGGACGACGAACGACAGAGCCATGCCAGTCTGTCCCGCTCGCGCTGTACGTCCTATTCTATGTGTGTAGGCTGATGCTGTTGTGGGGAGATCGAAGTTGATGACTGCGGAAACCTTCTTGAAATCGACACCTATAAGTGTTGTTAGTGTAAGTCCGGTGCTTGGGTAACTCCCTGTCATGTAAATGACAGCGCTGGGCAAGCATACCTCTTGATACACCGTACTCTTTATCAGCGCCCTTGGACTTCTTGGCCTTCTTCTTTGGTCGCTTTGCTTCCGTCTCCGCATCATCTCCGTCACCCTGCTTCTCGGCGTCCTCAGTCTCGCCTTCAACAGGTTCCGCATCATCTCCCATCATCTCATTCTTCTCATCAGCGGCAATGATGATATCGTAAACGTGTTTGTTGAACTCCTCAACAACATGAACTCGTGAGTTCAGGGGAAGCTCGGAGTTCAAAATACAACTTCGAATGCCGAACTGCTCAAAAAAGAGCTTGAGGCGGTAGCATCGGTCAATATCGCTCACAAAGATAATACACTTGCCCTTGATCAACTTAAGCTTAAAGATGACATAGGCGAGAAGGAACTTTTCATCTTCACCACACCTAGTAATATGTTAGCAACTGGCCTCTTATATCTGAGTGTCAGTAAAACGTACTTGGCCACAAACTGGGTGATACCCTCGCCTTCAGCCTCCTTCTCCTTGAGATCCAACAATGTCGGGTCGCGTCGGAAGATCCCCTTGAGTGTGTCGACCTCATCTGTAAGAGTAGCACTCATCATCATGACCTGAACACCCTTGGGAACCGATCGTGACAAGTTCTCCAGGTCCTCACTGTAACCGTAGGAAAGAACAAGATCGGCTTCGTCCAAGATAAGATGTGTGAGTTTGTCGATTGAGAGTGCTGAAGAGTTGACATTGTGCCAGGCAGTCGCAGGGGTCGAGATGACGATGTCGGGAGAGTTTGAAAGAAGGGCGCGCTGCACGGCATTGGAGACCTTGTCGGTTAACTTGACTGTGCTGATATCCTTTGCGCAGAAGGAAGCAAATTGTTCGATGGCCTTGAAGACCTGATCGGCAAGCTCGCGGGTCGGGACGAGGATTAGGGCGGTCGTGAAAGCTGCAGAGTCGGTCTAAGCACATGGCTGTTAGCAGGGTCTTCAAGGATAGGATATCTACAGGATCGGTCAGGGTGGCATACAGCTTTGCGCTTCAGAATGCTAGATAGCAAAGGCAGAACATAAGCTGCCGTCTTTCCAGAGCCACAGTCGGCCTTGGCCAGGACATCCTGTCCATTGAGAGCCAAGGGAATCGCCTTCCTCTGCACTAGAGTCGGCTTTGCAAACTTCTGCTGAGCGATAGCTTGTAGCAGTCTGGGATCGAGACCGAGATCGACGAAGGAAGTTTCATCCTCTTGTTTCTGCGCAGGCTTCGTAGGCTTTTCAACTTCGGTAGTAGCAGGCTTTTCGTCAGCAACGACTTCTTCTGTTTGATCGCGCTTTCTTTTCGATAAGGACCCCATTATGAAAGTCGGTTGCTGTGTGGTGTTAATGTTGGTGTTGGTGAATGTCGAAGGAAGATGGCGATTCCTCAACTGCCCAGACATATTCTTTCGCTGCTAGGTAACTTTTCCTCCAAATTTACGGCGGGCTGAGGGGCAGCTACCCGGCGGACGGCTACTTGATTGGTTAGTTGGCTTTCAAGCTAACGCTTTTAGGCTTAGCCTAGGAAGTTGAAGAAAATCGTTCAGAGTTCGAACTTTTTTTTCTTATCGTGCTTATCAATACATGCACCTCAAAACTTTGTCTAACCTTATTTGGCTGGGAATAGCTTCACGTTGCTGTTTCATTCATGCTCCTGAAGGTATCGAAATCCTACAAACTGTAAGCACATGACTCCAAAGCTCTAATCACTGGAACTCGTATTTTCTACTGGTTCCTTATCCCGAAGTCCTTGCACAGGTAGGTACCAGGGACAGAGGCATTGACAACGTCAGCCAACATCATTACATATCAAAGTCGACTTCACGAGGATCATATAGCAGAGAAAGACGGAGTCAGGCTTGATCATCAATAACAATTATATTCATCATTCGCTCAGTTCATTATATCCCATATCCCAAAATTCCAGGCTAACATATTCCCAAAGAAAACATCATCTATATCCCATTTCTATTGGTTCTTTTTTTGCTTTTACTTTCATTCCCATTTTACCACTTGATGACAGGGTTGGGGAAGTACTCGCTGATGAGCTCCATGTAATAAGGCTTCAGCTTCTCAGCATCGGGCACACCGTCGCTCTTGGAGTACAAGTCATAGGGGTTGAAGGCATTGACAGCCTTGAGCATCTCATGATCCTTGTCGCACATGAGGTGGCGGTAAGCTCCCTCGCGGTGCCAGGGGTAGAAGGAGTGGTAGCGGATCATGGCGAGAGCCTCGTCAGGGAGAGTGGACTGGTCCTTGACGACATGGTAGAGGTACTCGTCGTGGCCCCATGAGAGCATGACATTGTCGAGACCGCAGTTGGGAGAGTAGATACCGTACTTGGTGTTGAAGTCGGGGTTGGTAGCATCGGGGTTACCCTCGACAAAGGTCTCGGGGTAGATGATCTTGTCGGAGAAAGCACAGCCAACGGGGAATGTGTCGCCGACAACGTCCCACTGACCCTGAGTCTCAAGCTCGGGGAAGAAGAGCATAAGCTTGCCAAGGTCGTGGATGAGACCAGTCAACTGCATCCAACGAGGCTTGCCATCGCGGCGAATAGCCTCAGCAGACTGAAGAAGATGCTGGATCTGAGAGAGGGAAGTATCAGGGTCAGACTCATCAACAAGAGTGTTGAGCTTCTCCATGGCCTCCCAAATGGTCATCTCGGCACGAGGACGAGAGGCGTTGTAGAAGCGGTTGCGGGCAGCGAGGTTGTAGGCGACGGTCTGCTTGTGGTGCTGCTCGCGGTAGAAGTTCTTGACGCGGTCGGTGGCATCGGCGTATTGGCGGAAGGTGTTCTTGTCCTTCTCCTTGTCGAACTTGGATGTCTCGTCGTACTTGATCACGTTGACATCGTCGATCTTGTCAGAGAGAACCTCGAGGGCTTGGCCATCGTGGCTAGAGAAGTCGTCAACGACAGCGCTAGGGGCCATTGTGAATGTGATGTGTGTAAGTGAAGTGATGGAGGTAGTATCAGGTAGGTTAGAGAGAAGAGTCTTGTATTGCTCTTGAAGATTCAGTTGTAGTTGAGAGTGTGAGATGAGAATGCTGATGAGCTTGGAGGATTGAATCTCAAAAGACGTGAAAAGGATGGTCTTAAGTAGTTATTGATGTCAAAACCATCCTTCGTTACAAGTCAACCTCATATCGAGAAGTTTTCGCTTTGCCCGCCCGCGCACACCATCAACGGATCCTTTCCCCTTCTTTTTTCCCCGCATAATCAAACTTGAAGTTGGGTACATGACCGATCTGCGTCATCTGAGTGGGTGTTTTTGCTCTACAATTCTCGTCAAGTTTTCGAGACTTGGTCGAGATCTGGAGAATGGTGGAACTCTACGGGCAGAGTTTCTAAGTCGAGAACGATATATCGGGTTAGATCCGCCGCAGAGACGCCACTGAGAACCCTGGCTTCTCGAATCTTTTGTCATAAACGGTTAGCTCCGCCGGCTATAGCTTCTTTCGGCCGTCGAAGAGACACCAAGCATAGCATCAAGGCGGAGGCAGTGGAGTTGTTGTCGACTTTTACCTCAAAATGCCACGTTAATTCATCTTGCTAATTTCTTTCTACGTCACGCGGGGAATTGACCGGGAAGATTGCCGGATCTCACGACCCTTCGCAAACTCGGAGATTCTTGTTCAAAACGTTCTAGACGCAGCTACACATCGCCTAGATCTCTGGGGCTTCATTTTACGTGGTAACATGGGGATTATTGCTGGACCCTGAAATGGACAAATACGGCAAGACAGCCAGCCTCATGTGATCAATATCAGCAGATGTACTGATCTAGGGGTCGAGGTAGAGCACGCCAGGGCCACAATCTAGAAGTTTGTCTCTGCAATAGAAGCTTTGAAAGCTGTGAAATACATCCACTATCCAACACCTATCAGCATTATAGGATGACAGCTTACAATGTTTCTCCCTCAAACTTCCCCATACGTGCGTCTTGGTCTAGATCCATCTTGAAGAGAGGGCAAGCTGAGCTGGTCCGGGGTTGAGGTTGGTGTTGATATGGTCCATATTTAGATGTTCCCAAAATCGCTAAATTTCCCCGCGGCTCAACTTGTGTTATTCCAGGCATGGAAGTCGTGGGAGACTTGGGTCGGGGGGAGATCAACTCAACATCGGAGTCTGGCTACTGGTTCCTCGCCCTCGTGGTAATTTTGTCCGAGTGGGCTAAGAGTTTAAGCGTCATTCAGCATACGAGATCTTGGATTCCGCGCTAAAATTTACTGGTCCCTGAGTTTATTTGGTTAGTTCCGGAGAGCTCCATTTCGAGGGATTGCCTTTTCAAGTAAGACTCTCCGACCATTGGGTCATTGTGCAGCTGCGACGAATCGTTGATTACTATAGGTATCAGCCTTATTCTTCTCTCTTGTCACCTGATTCAAACATTAGATATCGGACATCTTGACGAAATTCTGACATATATCAGATCATTTCACAGAAATAATCCGAATGATTTATCCTCTTATTCATCTGCTCCGAGACTCTATCGTGGGTGGAAAAACTTGAGTATCGGGTTTGTGTTACTACACCTCTTATTAATCACCAAACCGATCACTTGTATCCTATATAACTCGCGCTTTAGATATCAATCTTTGATGACAAAACCCCTCTTTTTCGACAATGACTTCCAGCTGGCTATTGTGTCATTCTTGCAAATCCTCATGCTAAGGTATATAGCATCTGCCGTGGCTTAACCTACACCATTCTGTTTCAGTCGCGATATTGTATCGCCAGCAATGCCTACTAGCTCACCACGAGGATCCTACTTTGCATAGAATTGAGGAATATAGTATCTCGTCTTATATATCGTACAGATATTAAATATACAGGAAACATAGTATGTCTCAACAAATCTATGCGGGCTCAATTTCGCGGTAATTGTTAAAAGTGCAATGACTGCTAGATATATGCCGGAAATTCATCGATTATATAAAGCAGTATGCTCGTTATGCACTCTTACTTAAGCAAGAATTACTATTATTGAAGTCGTGATGCCTTTGACGATATCTGATGACATATATCCACCGAAAATTCTAAGCCAGTGGTTGAGAATGGTATTGAAAGGACCTGCTCAAGATCCATAGGAATAACACTCGTACGTGCCATTGCTTGACATAGAAGTCAGTGTATTTATAAGAGGTACTTGAGTCATGTCTAGATTATTACAAGGAAAAGGCTAATGAAAGAAGTTTCCATATATAGGTGAGGGAATATATAGTCTACCCACAAGGCTTGAACATACACGTCCTTGTGCCCTGAGACTACTAGGTACAACTGCGGATAACAATATTATTGTATTTACCCTGTAGATAGACTTGGTATAACGGGTAAGTCGTCGTCAAGCGACGGGAAACTTGAATCTTAACTTCTGCATATCAAGTACTAGATGATACTGAGCCTCTAAATAAACAGCATAGTCTTCACAGGAAGAAGATTAAAGAACACACAAGAAAAAAAAGAAATCGAAACGCAGATCGAGCAGGCTGTTGGCAAGCTGTGCTGTAGGTGTAAAGTAGCAAAGCTTGAAAGTGAAGCTGAGAAAACTTGATAAGACTTGAAAACAAACAACACCCGGAAATATTCAAATAAAACTACATATATTACAAAGTTTCAAATGATAAATAGAAAAGACTAAGTAGAAGTGATAGACATTAAACCCTTCTGAAGATTGAGTTAATGGCCTTACAGGTTGAGACGCCTGCTCAGCCCAACCTTGCCAGAACACCATGTCCTCAAACAAAGTCAAATCCAAGTAAGATCCAGCGTATTTGGAACCAGTCGCAGTAAGATATGAATGGAAAACCAGTCAATTTGTCCTCGTCCATTGAAATTGGCCTGATAACTAAATAATATCAATGAGTGACTGCCGAGAGCTTCCACTTTGAAGAATGTGGGCATGCCTCGACCCCCCAACTTTTCAAGTAGGACTTTTGAGCCCTCAGTAGCCGAAAGGGAATCAAAACGGGGGTTTAAAACTGTCTGATACCCTCCTCGGCATTTTACCACGTCTTGTCCCCTGCAAGAAATCACAGACGTTGGTGCTGCCCGTCACATCCTTCTGCACATGACTCAGAAACGGGCTCGACCCGAGCCAGTCATGCAAGAAACAATCAATATGTTCGATGTTCAGCATGGATCAAGTCTATCACCGTTGTAGGCCATGCCTTTCAACAGGGAAGCAAGATGATAGCCACAGATATCCTTGTCTACAACATAAGCGTCGTTGGCAGGATGTCAAAGCGGAACGTAACCCCCAACGCATGAAACACGGCTGTCTTCACCAAAGCCTCGTTTTGATGCTAGACCCCGAAGTCGGCTATCGTCAACCGAGCTCGACAGGCCGGGATCCCGGCCGATATCTCGAGTCGCTCCAGACATCGGGGACGTCCGGGCCTCGGAAGCCACGATATCCACCACGGCAGTTGTGACTACAAGTTAAACTCTCAAGGTGACATCCAGGGCTCCTCATGCTCCGTGCAATGCTTTCCCGTGAAACTTTGATCGTCGTTAGAGTCGCAAGCAAGGGCTCGATCGATCGATGAAACTTCGGATGTTCAAGGAATCAACTGCAAGTTGCGAGTCAAGGGAGTGGGATTTGCCTGACGAGATAGTGTCATCTCAGATCGATTTGAGCCGAAGAAACTAATGCATATGTAATTCCTAGGTGACAAGTTTAATACCAGGGGTTTTCAGAGGCCCAAACGCCAAACACCAACTCTAAAATACCTTGAATCCCTGTAACGGTCATGGCTTCTCCGGCAGCACAGACGCAGAGACACGAGAAATTATCAAAATCTAAGGCTCGAGGATAAGGCTGCACTTGAAACAGCACAAAAGCGTCTGAGCGTAAGGACCGGTCGTTTCGTGCTCAATACTGTCTCGCACCTGGAAATAGCAACAGAAACAGTAGTAAAAGACCGGTTGAAGGCCCAGGGTCCTTGTTGCTGATCGTGGTAAATGAAATTCTCTATACGGTTGGTCCAGTCTCGGAAACTCGGATAGCATTCCATACCCTGTCAATGGCAGCAGTGACATCTCCGTGTAGTGATTACGTACTACAGAGTACATTGTAGCAGACAAGCATCCGTGCATGTAGATCATCAAGGTTAAGCTTCTTGTCGAGATTCTTGAGCCTCTCTGCCTCTGACCAAGAGCCCCGAGAGTATGCTTGTACCCTTGACTTCCTTGATATGTAACTGGGGTTCAACCGGGTACTGCGCCCGTCGAGGTTATGATTCGTCGGTCCGGGATAAATCATATTGGTGCAACACATCTGTAATCATCAAGGCGCTTCATTCCGACTGTCTTGATACTATGGGAGATGGGGCCTCTCCTCTCCCAACAGGTCCTGAAATTCGCTTAGTTACTAAGCGATAATGACCACTGGATGGCCTAATTTATCTCTTTGAGAATATCTGCATATTCAGCCGTGGATCCGATATGTCACTCTGTCTGATGCGTTGCAATTGTACCAACCAGAGACTTGACTGGTGACACAAACCGCGGCGACTCACTACGGCTAGATTCAAGAAAGCCTGGCTTGGCAACCAAGATATAACTCATCGCGAAGAACTCCCTCTTCCATAAAACTGGTGTGGGGAGGACTTTGCGCTTTGACTATCGAGGCCCACTTGTTAGTATGTCGTTGAGTTATATCCGTGTTTGTTTCACCCAGGAGATGGGAATAATCTGTTCTTTAGCGTAACTGCCGAGTAAAACGGCCGTTACTAAATGTGAAAATCAGGCCATATATGTTGTACCCTGGATAGTGGATGCACTCAGGCGCTTAGACGTGATCCAGAATAAACGCCTCAAGGAAAACTGCATCCGACGATGCCCTGAGTGCCTGACCTGGCCTGGGTCATCTGCTATGTATCAAGGGCATTAAGCTTGATGCCACCTGGCCACTTTTGGCTTGGCCATCTT